AAAAAAACTGAAAAAGTAGATTAAAATTGAAAAAGTAGTAATCAGATTTAACAATTATATTAAAATTACATCTCAATAGACTGCAAATGACAGTTCTGATTTGTTCTTTCGTCTTTTTTTTTTCTTAATCTTTAAATTAATAAAATAATATGCAGATTGTTTTGCTCAAATTACTTGGTGAAAAAACTGTGGTAGACAGCTTTCTTTTTTTGCATACATTTTTTATTATTGAATTATAACATTCTTTAAAAATTATATGTAATTTAGGTTTGAAAAAAAATTTTTTTTTTTTAGGTACTTAGTGCTAACACAGAACCAAATCAATGATGCTAGTCGAATTTTGCCCTGTTTTGATGAACCGGAGATGAAAGCCGAATTTAATATAACGGTACAGCATCCACGTGGTACAACGGCTATTAGTAATGCGGTGACTGCAAATTTTCGGAATCTATCGTATGCTAATTTAAAGTTAACAAAAAAAAAAGACTATTCAGATTACCTATTCCTTTTTTTTTTTGCCATTTCAAAAAGAGGAAAAAGTCTCAGAGGTTTATAAAACCAAAAAAACAAAATTATTTATTATCTATAAGTTTTTGTCTTAATATAAATTGAAAAAAAAATTTTTTGTCAAGATTTATTCAGAGAGAAAACGAAAAAGAAAAAATTGATATTTTATCTGTTGACTATTAATGACCATAAATATTGTTGGCAAATTTAGTGATGAATGGAGTGAAACAAACTTTGAAATAACGCCAAAAATGTCCACCTATCTTTTGGCGATTGCTGTTAGCGATTTTGAACAAAAATATCGTCGATGTAACAGTCGTATTGAGGTTTTTTTTCAATAATATATTCTTAATAAAATCGAATAAAACAAAAAAAAAATAATAATAAATCAACATAAAAATAAGTTTTTTTTAAAAAAAATCAAACAGCTGAAAGAAAAATTATTATTATTCTTATTATTATTATTATTTTTTTTTTGGTGGTTACGTTGTCGCTATTAAACATTTTAGACAGTTATTCGTTTAAAAAACAAAAAAAAAAAAAAAAAAAAAACTGAAAAAAAATTGTTGATTAAAAATTTAATTCAAAATAAATTTTTATTTAGAAAACTTGAAAAAAATTAAAAGGATGAGAAAAAAAACATAACTTTTTTAATTAGTTATTACTTTCCTTTTTTTTTTTTTTTATACATTCGAAAGTGAAAAAGCAAAGATCATTTTTTTTTTCTTTTTTATTTTTTGATTATTAATTTTTATTTTCTTTCTTTTGAATTAATTAACAATTTAATTAGTGAATAAATCACATCAATTCTGTTTCAAAAAAACAAAAAAAAAATCTCTTCTTTTTTTTTTCTACACTTTCTATCTTCTTCTCGTCTCTTGGCTGCCGTCTAAAAAAAAAAAA